CTGCTCTCCTCGCGGCCTCCCCCACAGCGGGGTCCCCCGTCCACCCCGGCCCGGGGCTCGCCCACCTCCCCGTGGAACCCCCTCGGCTGTCCGCACGCTGCTGGGATCCAGCACCCACACTGTCGCGTGCCTCCGAGGCGAGGAGAAACGCGCAGCTTCTGCAGGGGAATTGATGATTGCAAGGCAGGGGGGTTAATAATTTCCTTCCGGGCACCCAGGCCTGTAACCAGGTACCTGCAGGAGAGAATGGTTAACGGCCGGGAGAGTTTGGCTTTGAAAGGAAAGTTTCAAAGTGACCGAACTAACTTGGCACAGCTTGGATGACAGCAGCTAGAGGGAAACATGATAAATAACTAGCAGGACTTGGAGGTGCAAATACCAGGCAGAGAGAATTTTAATACAGGGAATAACTGGGACAAATGAGGCAAGATGTAAAAAGGAAACTAAAGTAAATAACTGGCTAAGTATCAGCAGGTTCTTCTCAGCAGTAAGAGCTGTCTGACTGTGAACAGAGTTCCAAGGGGGATGCTTGTTATCTGAGTCATCTGGAGGACTGGAGGATAAATTCTGGGGTGTTTTTCTACCTGTGGTTCACCTGGGGCTCTAGGAATCGCTTCTGGGAATGCAAGGCTTTTGCTAAGCTGAAATTTGCTGTACACCTATTTAGAATATCCCTATATTGAGCAAGTTTGCATGCCCTGCTCTAGCAAGCAGCACACACAGAAGGTTCCCGGCCCACCCCACATAGACATCTTTCTCGACTCAAGTCTGCATGATCCTTGCCTCGGGTTTAATTTTCCAGCTTCGCTTTCGCAGCAGCCCTCATGGAGGGGGCGTACCCTGAGACTGTGTTGCCTGCCTCAGCCCTATTGCTCTGATTTTCCACTGGGGTGAACCAGGTCTTTACGCTGGTGTCATGCCTTTGCAATGACATCTGGGGAAGCCAGTCCTTAGCTTGTCTCTTCTCACGCTGTGGTTCAGGTTAATGATATGTTGCAATATTTTGACATGTTCTATTTGCAGATCCAAGCTCAAAGGCTCAGCAGGCACCAATATCTCGGAGGTGTAGGAGGGACAGTTCTGTTTAAAAAGAGGTGGAGTGCTTCTGCCTTGGTAACAGAGCTGGGAGTAAAATCCATGTCTTCTCACTTGTAGCCTCAGGCACTACCCAATTGAATATGTCACCTCCCACGTAACTGTGCCAGAAGGAGAGATTTTGCTTTCCAATCCACCTGCTCTTTCCATGTGATTCGCTCTGAGGCTAGAGCCCAGCACTTGGGACACCAGACCCCAAAGCTCTCTCTCAGGCAGAAGACTGCTGGGTGCCACTGCAGGGACCATGACACTTTCGATCCTGCCTTCCTCACAGCTTGCCTAAAAACAGAAGAGGTGGGGAACCCACACTTACGGTTCCTTTGTATTAACAAGCCATGCCTTTCAGCCCAAACATGGTGCATGCAAACCTAACTCTGCTCTTCCCACCGCCAAGGACTGCCCCATCTCCTCACCTGCACACGTCCTCCCGCTTCAGCTGAGAACCGCTGCTCTCTGTGCCATCTCCCCATCCAGTGCATGAAGGTGGCGGGGTGGGCTCGCTCTGTCCTCGCTGTGTCACTCGGCGTCGCCAGGCTGCAGCAAGACAAGAGGTGATATTTAGCAGCCTTGGTATAACTTTGAGGGCCCCAAGGAGAGCTGGCCCTCGGCGCCGTACCTGCTGCAGTCTGCTGTCCTTCAGCAAGCTCACCTGACTTGTAGGCATCAGAGGTGGAAGGTGCAGTCGTGGCATCCAGGACAGCATTACACCCTGTATCGTCACCAGATTCCACTCTTCTAGAACATGTTGTCTCCCGAAGATAACTCTTTTAGCTTTTATTAGATCAGTCTACTGGACAGGATATTGCTTCTCATCCGAAACTGCTTTGCTGTTCAGGTGCTGAGCAACTGCCGAGACAAATGTACCTGTCTTGTTTCAGAGCTGCTCTGCCAACCTACCTTCTGACCACTAGGCATAAATTTGCACCACAGGATGCCACCCAGGCCGTACCTCTGGGTCTCTGCCCTTCTTTTCACAGGGAATTCAGTCCCCAGGGCTGTGCTGTGAGCCACCAGCCTGCAAAACCCTAGTGGCACGTTTTGATACAGCCAGGGGCTTGGTGCTGAGCTGCGTCCACCCAGCGAGCGCTCTGGGCCCTGTCTGCACCTCGGCCCTCTCGCGTGCCCTTGAGTTTAGGGATGGTTTTAGGTGGCCAACCTCAGCTCTTCTCAGAGAGACTGAGCACCGCGGCTGGAGCACAGGACTACTTGTAGCTGGCACCCACAGAGAGCAGTGACAGCGTGGACATGGTGCATGGTCTTCTGGGAAGGATGGACAGAAAAGCTGTCTGTCCATCCGGCTCTGCGGTGCCTGGAGAGAGTGGCACCCTGTGGTGAGACCGGTTTGTCACAGCCTGTCACCAGGGCCTTGTCAGACGGCCTGGGCTGCCTTCCTTTCAGCCTTGGTGGTCTCAGGCAGGGACATTTCTGGGGGTCCCTGTGCCTGCTTCCCTCCAAGCAGCAGCCAGCTCCCCGCCGCACGTCACAGAGACCAGGCTGAGCCACTCTCCTGTTTACATCGCGATGCTCCTGCTTCGCTGTATCCGTACCAGGCGGCATCACCCAGGTGGGCTCCTGGAAGAGCCATTTCAGGTCTATGATTGTTGGCTGCCTCTTTAGTCACTTCTGCTTCTGGCATCTCCTGTTTTGGGGTTACTGTCCCATGCCTGAGTGCAGCCAAGAGCAGAAATAGCCTGACAATAACTAGTGGTCAGAAAGTCTTCAGAGAAGCCAGATCTCCAAAATCCAAGGCCCCCGCCGTTACGCAAGAGCCTGTGGCCTGGAATGGAAGTGTTTTACCTCCTCGCCAAACACCAGCCCATTGCTTGTTTTGTCTCTCTAAATTCCCCTTCCAGTTTCTACAGGACAGGTGTTCTTAGAATCACTGAATCATAGGTTGGAAAAGACCTCTAAGATCATCAAGTCCAACCATCCACCCAACACCACCATGCCTACTAAACCATATCCTGAAGTGCCACATCTACACACTTTTTGAACACCTCCAGGGATGGTGACTCCACCACCTCTCTGGGCAGCTGATTCCAATGCCTCACCACTCTCTCTGTAAAGAAATTTTTCCTAATATCTAATCTAAACCTCCCTTAACGTGACTTGAGGCCGTTTCCTCTTGTCCTATCACTAGTTACTTGGGAGAAGAGACCAACACCTGCCTCACTACACCCTCCTTTCAGGTAGTTGTAGAGAGCGATAAGGTCCCCCCTCAGCCTTCTCTTCTCCAGACTAAACAGCCCCAGTTCCTTCAGCTGTTCCTTGTAAGACTTGTTCTCCAGACCCTTCACCAGCCTCGTTGCCCTTCTCTGGACTTGCTCCAGCAACTCGATATCCTTCTTGCAGTGAGGGGCCCAAAATGGAACACAGCACTCAAGGTGCGGCCTCACCAGTGCCGAGTACAAGGGCACGATCACCTCCCTGCTGGCCACACCATTCCTGATACAAGCCAGGATGCCACTGGCCTTTTTGGCCACCTGGGCACACTGCTAGCACGTGTTTAGCTGCCTGTCAACCAGCACCCCCAGGTCCTTTTCCACCCAGCAGCTTTCCAGCCACTGCTCCCCAGGCCTGCAGCATTGCATGGGGTTGTTTGCATGGGTTCTTCGTTTCCTCTCCCGAACAGCACAGCTCGCTGCACCAAGCAGCCGCAGAGACAGCCGTGCCCGCTCCTCAGAGCCGCTCCCATCAGCCCCCCCATCACCGTTACCACCTACAGACCCAGGCCAAAACTCTCCCAAACGCCAGGACCCCGTTCCCACCGCCCATCGCT